TAGGGTGTCAATATACAAGTATTTACAGACTTACAGCTGGGTATCTCGAATTCCGAGATTCTTACCTAATTTAAGCTTAAATGACTGGATTATTATATATTATGTGTGTAATGTTTTTAATGACGAATAAATTCTATTCTATTCTTGACTTATGTAAATACTGATGAATGTATAAAACACCAATAAATTATCTATCTACCTATAAAAGAGATTTTTGAGATTTGTTATACCAAGTCATACGAAAACATTAAATGAAAAAAATACTACACTTTTCACTTTTTAGACTATGCCCGCCTGTGAAATAGCCACTTGAAAATTATTTATTACTCCGCTGCTTAAGAAAATAATCTATAGTTAGAAGCATCGTTTCTATATACACATTTTTTACAAACCCGAGTTTAATTTTTGCTTTAAGTCTGTGTACAGTATATGCTCATTTGTGATATTTTTGAATATCCATGGTTGATTGTTTGGCGTATTTGAAGGTACAAAGCGAGGAATTCTCAAGGGCAGATTGGTTTGGTTCCGAGGAACTACCTGCAAGAATTGTCCGATTACATGGACCGTCCAATCCAAGAACGGAACAGACTTCCTCCGCCTACAATGGAAACTTCTATGGAACGATCTCAGATTTCGATGGCTGAAAAACCCCATCTGATCGATAGACCTTGGTATTATGGTAGCATAACTAGATATGTGTGTGATAATCTGCTTAATCAGCATGGACACGACGGTGATTTCCTCATAAGAGATAGCGAGACTAATGTAAGTATTTTGTTGTTGTTTGTATGTGTAGGTGTGCGGTGAAAAGTTGACTTTGAATGGTACCAGTTGGCCAGATGTGGCATATTTGTTGTGATCTGATATGAACCAATTTGCAATGTGACGTTTCGTTCATTAGATTTCATCATCAACTTCATTTTTTCAAATACGGACACTTACAATTTGTAAAATATGGTAACTCAGTATCTTCCTCAAACACAGTTTTATGGGGTGTACCACAGGGTTCTCATTTTGAGATCTTATTCTTTATGGTGAGTTTCTTTTGTTTGCTGATGACCTGAAGATGTTTAAAGTTATTCATGACTCAACTGATACAGAATTATTTCAGTACGATTTATCTAACTTTGTTCGCTGGTGTGATATTTACTTTTTTCCGAAACAAAAATCCCATTAACTGGCCATATAAAACCAATCAATTAGAACTGAAAACAACAAACACAATCAGAGATTTAGGAATCCCGTGTTAGGAATCACACGTTGAAAGGTAAGACCTCGTTAATCCTTAGCTCGCACAAGTTTCTACTTCTGAGGGTTGTCGTTCGTAGGGGAGCGACAGCTGGTTAACGGAAAAACAGATTTTAAAAAATCTCGACCCAAAAATGTCATTTAAACCCCATATTGCAAATATTACTTCTAAAGCACTAAAAATGTTGGGTTTTATTCTTAGATCTGCAAATGAATTATCTCTCACTTCATTAAAAATCATATATTGTTCAATTGTTATGTCAATAATCGAATACAATTCCACAATTTGGTGCCCTTCATATCATGAGGATATTGATATGCATGAAAGTGTTCAAAATAAGTTTTCAAGGTACTCTGTATGTAAAGTGGGATGTCATGTTGGTGAATATGACTATAACATTATATTGGACATTCTTAACTTGAATACTCTGGCTAATAGAAGATTGGAAGCAGATCTTACACTAATTCATAAAATAATCAATGGTAGCATCAATTCCCCGGAACTTGTCGAACTTATATCTTTAACCCTTTGAAGCCCACGGAGAAATTTTTCTGTTTTCGAATGTTTTTATTCGAAAAATAGTCTCTCAAAGTTATAAGAAACAACTTTATTAAATGATTTTATTTTATGTGAAACACAGTTTTTTCAAAAATAGGTGGTTCCGCCAAGGAATCACAAGGCCATTAGTGTTTCTGGTGAAATTTTTTGAAGCAGTTGAATTTTTCGTTGAAACATTGATCAACGTCACAAGTAGTACAATGCCATCTTGTACGATGTGGCTCCAATCGAGTGCTACATTGGGCACAACGAACTTCATTTCCATGTTCGGGTAAATGTGCACATTTGTCATATCTTCTCTCAAGAGGTACAATTTTTTTATACCTGTTTGATTCAACACTATCACTTGGTCTCTTATTAGATATTTTGGAGCGGGCTTCGATGAGTTCTATCGCTACTGCAATCTTAAAATCTTTTAGGCTCAGAGTTTTGGTTCCAAGTGCACGAGATTTATAAATTATATAAGCATTTACAACTACAAGATCTATAAAGTGCCACAAGATGCGATACCACAACTTCCTTGATTTTCTATTCGCCTTATATAAGGAAATATACATGTCAGATTTGTCGACATATCCCATGTGTTTGTTATAATCTTTGACCAATTTCAAACAAGAAATATTTTGCGAAGAACCATCTTTTTGCTTGCGAGGAACGAAGTTAATATGTTCTGGATTATGAAAATTGCTGAGAAATAAAACTGGTCAGTTATTAGCCCATTTCAAATACAGAAGACCTTCTTCAGTCATTCTCCAGTCACTATCTTCTCGTGTCATTGCTTTATTACCTAATAGATTTTTAGGCTCGTTTTTTCGGCCCTTTCTCATAGTTGGTTAACATTTCGGTTTGCAATGAGACATCGTTGAAAAAACTGTCGAAGTATACATTGTGATTTTTTCCAACAAGGAATATCTTCTAGTATTTCAAACATTTGTCTGAAGTCAATTTATTCAAATCAAGGAATTTTCTATCTGAAAAATTAACCAAAACTAGAGTGGCCTTGTGGTTCCAAGTGGAACCTCCTGATATTTCTCTAAAGATATACCATTTGAAATTTGATATCCATTGTTTTTGTAGTGTAATGATGAAATATACTCATGTCCGTTGTATATTTACTAGGATCTTAACTGCCATTATTGAAAGTGCCCTTTATTTAGATGATTTTATGAGAACCTGCACACAAACATAAATACTTGACGTTTTCCTCCACTTTATGACTTTATATCTCCAAACAATTAGAATTTCTTTTCACCTTGCTCTTCTGGTAAAGAGATGGCGGTAGTATATTACTGTTTCAATATTGTGGTTCCAGCCAGCGCTTACTGGGCCACTTCAAAACAATCATTTGATTTGTGGTTCCACGGTGGCACTTCTGGGCTTCAAAGGGTTAAATATATTGAAGAGCTTACTATGCTTATATTCAATCTTCACTCAGTTATTGGCTGATCAACTTCGGTAACTGTAAAAGAATAAACGAATTACCTACTAATAGCTCAAAAAAAAAATTGTGAGAACAATGTCTAAGAAAATATGATGACTCATTTAGGGAGCTGTTTACCAATTTGGATATTATAACCATTATTTCACTATATATATTCAATTGTGTTGTTTTTGTCAAAACTCATCTCGACAAATTTGAATCAAGAGATAATTTTCGGCTCGCCACAGGATATAAGTTAAGATCCAAGTATAATTTTATTGTTCCCCACTATAAATTGACGAAATTATGCCCATCAAATTAGTCAACAAACTACCTATCTTTCTTAAATAGCTATCAAACCTGCATTTCTTCAAAAAAAAAAACGTTAAAAAACTGTTACATGACAATACATTTTATTCCCTCAATGAATACTTCCAGGCTGATTTGGAAATATTAATCACTTGATTGAAACAGTATCGATTGTACTATTTTCTTTCAATTCTATATTATTATGTATTTATATTCTCAACTTCCATATTTAATAGTATTAGTGTTCAAACTCATACTTCTGTTTGATATTTTCATATCTTTACTCTCTTATGTGTGTATATATATTTATTTGTTTTGTGAATTTCTACTTTTTCCATGTGTAAGTCTCTGGAAATAAACTGATTTGATTTGAACTTGCAACATTCATAACGATTTCAATCATTAGTTGATTATTAGTGTAGTTGAATTCCGTTAGTTTCATTCAATTTTTATATTTTTTCAACAATGAATTGAAGAAAAATCATTTACATGGCTATCTTTTGATACAGGGTGTTTTTGCGGCTATTATTTCAGTATTCGAATTGTAAGTTATATCTCTGTCACTAAAAAATATATCTTCATGAATTTCTGGTCACCTATTTGGAGGTTCTGTAGCGGTAGCGTCATGATTTTTTAATGAAAATTATACATTTCCGACTGCTGGAAATTGAAATAAACAATTTGAATTTTGTCTCCAACCTTTCATTACTTAACACTTCAAAAAAAGTTTGAAATCAGTTAACGAATTTAAATCTTACAAAGGTGTTCCCAGACGAAATGAGTCACTGTATAAGGCTCGGTGTAAGGTTTGTGAACGCTCATCATCAACCACTCGAAATGACATATTGATGTCGACGATTTTACTTACGCCGCGCCGTCCCTTGTTCTTGAACGATTAATCTGTTACAATAGCCGAGGGGGATATAAAAGAAATCCCGTTTGACTCTTATACAGTGTCTTTTTTTTGATGTAGGTAAGGAAGGTAAGGCGCGTGGCACTCTTAAACAGATTCGTCGTGTTTAGGGTCGTTCGAAATGGAATAATAAAATAGATAGGGGATGTTGTTGAGTGGTATTCATATCGACTCGTCCCCTTTTATTTTTTGTGAGAACCTTTTAGATTAGGTTGTGTACCTGTATGTAGCTTCCATGAATGAAAGGTCCAAATATATACTCAATCCGGCTCGAAGGACCATTTTATAACCAAAAGATAACTAATGAAACCCTGTATCTGTGATTATAAAAAATCGGTACATTACGTTACCGGGATATTACTGATTAACAACCCATGCCACAACGAGTTTGAATACCATTGAGAAAAAACATGACAGGATTTAATTCACGGGTTTCGACAAGTATCATCTATGAATGTCTTATTTTTTATTTTACAAAACTTTCGCCGCAGTTATCCAAGATACTTATATCAGTGGTAATTTATACAATTTATTCAAATGCTATTTTATCAGCAAAAAGTAGGACGTTGAATATCGTAAGCACTTTAGAAATAATTACAAGATGGGTGATAAAAATGACAATCACTTTTTTCCTGATAAATTAAATTGAAAACATTCCAGTTTGTAATTGAATATAAATGTGGCCTTTGACGGATAATAATTATAAATCAAATTCCAGATTTTCAAATAAAATTTATGAATCAATTGTTCATTAATTGATCATTCGTCATAAACCTTGAATATTAATTTCAACATTTCAAATTGAATATCTCGACAATTATTTTTATGAATAATTCATAAACTTCACAAGACAGTATGTCTTTGTCAGTACGGCGTATAGAAAATATCCAAATATAACAATTTTAGAAAGTATTGCAATCAATAGAGATTCAAATAGACAACTGTATTCAAATAGACTGTGTATTATATATCTTCTAAGATTGGCAACACTGTGTCAGATTCTGTCATTCCTCTTGGGTGTTATATTATTGTGTGGGATAGTCTTGTTATTATGATTGTTTGAATATGTTCTTCAATTTGAATCAAATCCATAGTTGCATAGTTCTGGGATCAACGGAGATCCAGATTCGCTTAAAAGGGTCATAACTGGTGACGAATCATGGGTAATATGGTTATGACATGGAAACCAAATTCCAAGCGTCCCAATGGAAGAGCCCAGAGGAGTCGAGACCAAAAAAAGCACGTCATGTTCGATCAAATGTCAAGGTTTTACTCAGTATTTTCTTCGATAACCGTGACGTAATGCATCAGGAGTTCTTGCCACATTGTCATTCGACAACCCTCAGAAGTCGAAACTTGTGCGAGCTGGGGATTAACAAGTTCTTACCTTTTAACGTGTGATTCCTAACACGTTGAGTAAGGAGTGTATTATCTTGAAGTTTTGCAACGCTTGCGAGAAGCAATATGAAGAAAACATCCGGTATTGTGGAAAAACAATTATTGGTTGTTGCTTAACGATAATGCACCAATAATCATGCATCAGCCACCGTATTCACCAGATTTGGACCCCTGCAACTTTTTTCTG